ATCCTCCAGAAGGTGATAACATCAAACTGCAAGTGTTACCCCTCAATCGTATATTTTCATCAGCCATATCCAGTCAAAAATAAAGCCAGACTCGTCACAGACCGTCAAGTGCAATCAATTTTTTCATAGCATTTACCACCTTCAAACACACTGCATAAGTCTTGTTGACACCTCTGTAGTTATTGACTCGGAGAAGAACATCATGCTTGGGAAAGTGGAGATGCCGCGAAAAAGAGAACAGCCCTGGACGAGATGGACTGACACGGTGAATGACATCAACGGGCTCAGGCACAGGGGCAATTGGGAGGGTGGCACCGGACCGTGCAGTGCTTTGTCCTGCTGTGCACGGGTTTGCTATGGCTCAGTCAACTCAATGGCATCTATCAACAACAACAGTTATTGCCTCTCTCACAGAAAGCACGGCCTTTGATGTAAGGGCCTTAGTCTATTCACTAACATATTTCAAACATACAGAGCAGAGCTCAGCATTAGTAAATACTCGGTGAGTGGAAGACACAAGTTGCATAGACACATGGATGTGTGCACAGGGCAGGCGGTACATACACTCACGTCCTTTCTACTTAGTAGCCCCACCTCAGGACAGAAACAAGGAAATGTTTTGTATTCAAACATTTCAAAATGCATTGGTCATTCAGGTCTTACACATTAACTAAGAAAGCTAAACTTGAAGATACATATGTATTTCTGTGTGGGTTATCTGGATTAAATTTATCTATATCTATTTCATTAACCCATTCCCATAGATGGCCGAGACAGACTTGAATACAAAAAGAGATTTTTAAGAGCACACGTCACATATTAAGAAGCTATCAGTTCCCTTCAATGCTCACTAACGTGTGAACATGTATACTGAGTACTCACCCATATAGCCAAAAACCGACAAAGGCCTTATAATGTCTACTCCAGGTGTACTGATTGGGACAAGAATCATGCTGTGTTGCTTGTGTCTAGTTCAAAGGAAAACAGATGTTAGGAAAGTTTCCTAAGAGGAAAAGCCAACCAGTTGTTAGGCAGAGTTGCAATTCTCTTTTCACAAGGAACCTCTGTACTAGATCTGCACGGAGCGGCTCCTGGGGTAGGGTGTGATCTGGAGCAATGACAGTGATTTGAAGATCAGATGTTGATGGGGGCGTCTCTTGATTGCTTAACATCACTAAACAGGACCTGCTCTACAAAATCAAGCATTTCCAGATCATTGCTTCTAATCTAAACAGCTTGCCATTTAATTATTATAGATACTATAGGAGTTCTTTTTAATACTCCTATAATGCAATGCATAGGCACCCTGGTGGTGCAGTGGTTAAGCGCCCAGCTACTATCCAAAAGGTCTGTAGTTCAAGCCCACCAGCCGCTCCACAGGAGAAAGACGTGGTGGTCTGTGCCTGTCATGGTTTCCAGGCTGGGGGCCGCCAGGGTTGCTAGGAGTGATGGCAGTGAGTTGGGTTTGGGTTACAACCTGATCCATACAGCTTTAAGAATACAGCAATACTTTTTAATACAGGACATTCCACAACAAAGAATTCACAGAAACACTTCCTAAAACGCCTTCCAAATACATTTTTTAGCAAAATACCTCTGGGAAGAATATGTGACATTTAATCTTAGAATGCATTCTGTATCATCATGATTTATGAGCCCAAATACTTGCAATTTAAGCAAGTTAAATGGCTAAGAGAAAAATTAACCCTTATTCCTCTATAGACTTCCCAACCAGACTTTTTTTTACCTGGATTCTGAAGAATTTTTGGTTTTTCCCATGACAATTGCAATTTTGCATTTTGGGTTCCCAGCTCCTACAACAGGGGAGAAACGAGGACACGTTACAACATTACAAAAGGGTATTTTCTAGTCTGACACCGCGTCCTGAAGGCTCTAACGCTTCCAAATCCATTCCTGGTCAATAACAATTCCAAAGGAAAATCTTTGATTTATTAAAAAAATACACAATGTTTCTGTACAAAACCGAACCTCACCCACGGTGGGGAAATGAAAGAATGAAAAGACTACGCCAGGCCAAGAGTGGACGCCATCAGCGAGAGCTGCTGCAGACCCCCAGCAATCACAGCGCCCGCGCACAGCTTCTTCCCTCAGATAAAACGAAAACCCTCCCTTCCAAACCATTTCAGATGTCAGCATCCTAGGAAGGTTGTGAAATTCTTGAGGATTATTTCCTCCTGTTTAGGTCTCATCTTTCATGACACATGGACAACCCAAAACTCAACCTCGCTGCCATCGAGTTGATACCAACTCACAGCAAGCCTATAGGTTAGGGCAGAACTGGCCCTGTGAGTTTCTGAGAATGTCACTGTGCACAGGAGTAGAAAGCCCCATCTTTCTCCCGTGGAGCTGTTGGTGGTTTCGAACTGCCGACCTTGTGGTTAGCAGCCCCATGTGCAACCACTACACTACCAGGGCTCATTCGACACATGCACAAGGAAGCATTAAAATTCATGTATTTATTTCCAAACCATTGACAAATAAAAGACTGAATTTCCCTGCCGCGGAGTTGGCTGAGGTGTGTCTGTTTGAGAAACTCCGTACCTATGCCGACTCATCAAGAGGCAGTGGACCTGCCTCGGTGAGCTTTGCGAGGCTGTAAATCTTAGGAAAGCAGACAGCGTGTCTTTCTGGGCGTTCACATGACCTACCTTTCAGTAAGCAGCTGAGTGCTTCATCACGGTGCCAGTGGGATTGGGTTTTCATTTCAGCGCCTATCCCAGACTATGTCGTACCCCACAGTCACACCACAGAACAGCGGAAGGGTGACTGGGAGCTGTCTGCACATCGGGG